GTTGCCGTAGCATGTACTTTGTTGAAAAGGCTAGAATAAATGGATCTTCATCGTTTCCATCTCCCAACACTGGATTTCCATCGTTATCCAATTTGTATCCAAACAGAAATGGGATCAAATCATCAAGTTCAGGGCTGTAACGCGATTCCTTGGCGAGAGAAATCACATCGTCAACAAAATCAGTATTCACCAGGGTGGATCGTTTGTAGTTGTACACAAAATTCTGAATTGTCTTCAACTCTGGAACAGTGCTCCGGTCCATCGAGAATTGATCGATCAGGCTATTCCGTATGCGTGCTGGTTTAACCCCATCAGTGATCATTGTCCGGCTTTGAGTTTTCATCGCAAGGGTAAACACTCTTTCTTTGGGGGATCCGACGTTGGCGAGATGGTTTTCATATTCATAAAATGAGTAGATGTCCGTTGCAAAACATTGAAGAAGCTTCAACCAATACGGGCATTTCTCACCAGTCGTGTTGCAAGTTGATGAAACACAGTACCACATTTTGTACCTCATCTTGTGTCCATCAGTGTTCTCCTTGCATATCGAGCAGCGTTTGTTCTTGTTGTTAGTGTAGACATGTAGAGAGCGCATTTTATCGAGCTTTTTGTTTGCCAGTAGTTCTCCCTCGGCTGTACCAATCGCTCTCCACGTATATTCCATCGGCATGTTCTCCTCGGCGAGACGAACTATTTGTGTCTTGCTGGCAAGAAAGAAACAAAAGCTAATTTTGGTATCAGTCGCGATTCTTCGCATCTTGTGTTCCCCTTAGCGTATTTATAGATTTCACCATCGCTAATGACGACCTGCTCTTATAAACTCTTGAATTCAAGACATCCATCAACGTAATTCTCCAAGTAACTTATTCCGTGAAATGAAAGGAAAGCCTTATCATTTTATACTTATCCAACGATATGCATGTACGTTCATATATTACTATGTACTATTACACATTCAAACGCGGGGTTCAGATGATTGTGAAAGCTGCCTAGCCCTCATCTTAGGGCCAATCGCAAGGTCTTTGGTGAACTTAATAGACGATTGGTAAAGTTACAAGTGCGTTGGTTCATTTTTCAGACATTTTGGTTCAGATCTCATCCTCTCTCCCCTTTCTTGCATCCTCGACTCCTGTTGGCCTCTCATTTCCAAATCCAGACGAGAAAGCCCACACAAGGCTTTGCTCGTGTTTGGTGCCATGAGAAGCAGCGAACCCGAGCGCGATGTGCCCCCCCCCCCGATGCCCCTTGGGTGTGTTCTCCTGTCGACGTGGAGTGGCATGAACGCTGGGTCGCATTTCGTGAGTACATGGAGCAATCTTTAACAACGCTCTAAATATTTTATAATATTTTATATTTTTACTAAATGAATAGACAGGCTGCGTGACTAAACAAACACCTCGTGGTTCTTGTGCAAACACGTGTCAATCGATTAGTCACGTAATGTGCGTGCAGGTGTTCCTCCCTACAATGTTCAGCGTCCGAGGTACTAGTAATAGATCGTGGGGCATCAGTTATGGTCAACAATAGGAATAATATCCGCTTAGTAACATGGTAGAGCAGTAAGTCGATCCTGGAGAGTAATATGCTGTGCAACATGATTGTTGCGTGCTACCTTGAATAAAAAGACTGATCATTTGTAATGCTGCCAACACCTGGAGCTTGACAAGCTCTATGATGAGATCAGTTTGTCGTTCTACCGCGCTCCGACGTGATCAGTTTGGATTTTCGTCAGTTCTGACGATGACTACAAGCCCCAACACACCAAGCGCTGCCACTTCCTCGTCTTTAGCTCATCAATGGGCTGAGTCCTTGACCAAGTCTTGGTCTGATGAAGTGAAGGATGAATGGAGACGCGAGCAACGCCGTCAGAACTCCAAGAGGTTTCGAACGCGCAAGCAGCACGAGCTGATCCAACTACGAAGAGAACAGGACCACCTCGAACTACAAGTCAAACGGTTCGTTGCAGCTTTGAGTCAGTCATCCACGCAGAAGCCGACCAACTCCAGCGAACTGTACAGCGCGCTATGCCGACTCGCTATTGAGGGTGAGACGTTGATGCGAGAAAAGCTGCTGCTGAAGCAAGAACTCTATAGACACGAGTACTTCCTGGGCATCGCGAGTAAAACACCGGAGAGCGTAGTTGTTGTCCCCAAGGAGAAGAAAATACCACAAAGCGTCCTCGATGCGAGTAAAAAGTCTCGTTGGGTGGCCTACGCGCGT